CCAGTGATATTCCTCCTTCAGCAAGGCTCCACTTCCTACAAGTTCCATAACCTTTCTAAGCAGCACCATCAACTGGGGACCAAGTACTCAAATACACGAGTCTTTGAGGAACATTTCTCCTTCAAATCACCACAGCTTCTTTGGTAAAACATTATCCTTTCCTTCGCTGCAAACCGATCTTGGTAACTCTAAAATTGACTAGGATTCAAGTTCCTTCAATGCCTTTTATGCTTCTAAAGGATATATATATATATATATATATATATATAATATTTCTGCATAAATATATAATATATATATGTAAATACAAAAATATATAAATAAACACCACTCTTATACCACAAAGTCACAATATAAGATGAAGGATGGACTCCTTTAAATGTTATAGTTACAACAATGTCCATCCATCTTCCTGTTGTGAATACCAACCTTTGTTGATCAGGAGGAATTCCTTCTTTATCCTGGATCTTGGCCTTGACATTTTCTATGGTGCCCCAAGTTTCAGCCTTCAGCATGAAGGCCTTCTGGCTAAGGCTTTTATGAAAATCTCTATCTTGGTGGGCGTTTCACCTCAGATGTTGAATAGGAAAGGAAGAGTGGCTGTCAACCATGTGGCTTTCCTGGATGAAGTAATTTTTATTTTCAACTCCTATTCCCTTACTAATTGATCTCCATTGAAGTGCTATCACACACACACACACACACACACACACACACACACACGCTTCTCAACTTGCCACCAATTATTTAGAATTGTATTTGTGAATGACATAATTTAAAATAAGTGATATACAGCCAAGCATGGTGGTCTGTACCTTTAAACCCAGCACTCAGGAAGCAGAGTCAGGAAGATCTCTGTGCTCTGTGAGATCAAGGCCAGTTTGGTCTATATAGTGAGTTCCAGACCAGCTGGGGCTACTGGGAGACCCTGAGACCCTGTTTCTAAAAACAAAACAAAACAAAACAAAACAAAAACAATAAAACCCCAGAAACTAAATAAGGGACACAAGAAAGTAAAAGACTCAGTTTTTGCAAGAATTACATGTCCTTCTGTTGTGACCATGTTATCAATCTAGGGGTAAGGTTGTGCTCAATTTCTCAGTCAGTTAAAGAATTAAAAAGCAGGAAAAATATCAGAACATCAGAGAGCAAGAAGCAAACAAACTTACTGAAAGATAAAGAATCACGTTCAAACACATGAAGAATCACACATACGTATACACATTCATATAGAAAGATAAAACTCTCCACAGTGAGAGGGGAATTCTGAGACCAAGACTCTGAAGTCCCAGAGGACTTGAGCCTTTCAAGTTTTCTTGCTGGTATGGGGCAGTTTCTGCCTCCTAATTTTGGAGAAGAAAAAGAAGAGACTGCTGATGGGTTTATGGCTTTATTGATGGGGTGTCTGGTCTGGACCCAGACTTATCTGAACTTGTTGGAACTAATCTGTCAGAAAGAGATCCCTGCTGACTAGAGGGGAACCCCCTGGCCTTTGTCTCAGGCCAAAAAGAAGACAGAAGTAAGCTGTCTTTGTTACTCCTCAGTGACTCTGTTTGCTTATTAGCCTATTAGGGATTTAGTCATATATATATATACACATATATATATACATATTTCATCAGTAGGACTGGAAACCTGGTGGAGATGAATTATGGCATTTCACTTAACAAACTGAGATCCAGATTGTCTAACTGGTCCCCAAGGTTTTCTGGTTCTTTTCAGAAACATTTGATGAAATTTGGACATTAAAAAATTCTGGACATTTATTTAGCTTCCTTCAGATTTTTGGGAAAATGTTTTCATTCTGAATTTTCATGTAGCTCCCATTTAGTCAAAGTCTTTGTCCCCTTCAACAGGAAGCTAGGAAGGAACTAAAATGTAAGTGGAGAGTTGAAAAAAATCACCTTTGAATATCCTATGTCAATAAGAGTGCCAGGAACTGTGGAACTGATCCTTAGAGCAAATCATTACTAATGGTTTCCCCCTTGGAGGTTGCACAATTTTGATAATGATGACTCAGGAACCTCCAATCACTAAGTGATCCAAGATTCAATGTTACTTGTGAAATATGTAGTTGATATTTTAGTTCTGCTCAATTGATTACTTATAGGATATTCTGGGACAAGTTTGTTTTGCTTAGGTGGCAACAGTAGCAAAGGGGAAAGAGGACTTGTTTGGCAATATTTTCTTTTTTTTCTATTTATTTTTATTTTATGTGTATGAGCGTTTTACCTACATGTATGTAAGTACACCATAGGTATGGGGTGCCTGAGGAGGCCAGAAGAGGGCGTTGGATCTCCTGGAACTGGGGTTTTGAACTGTTGTTATCTGCCATGTGGGTGCTGGGAACTCTGCAAGAGCAGCCAGTGCTCCTAACTTCTGGGCTATCTCTCCAGTCCTCTTAAGACTATTTTCAAAGTGAATTTGATGGCTTCTTTTCTCTTGTTTCATGAACTGAACTGCTAATCCCATTATGTCAGGGATCATATATCATCTTATTATTAAAATAGACTAAAATAAAAAGCCAAACAGAACAACACACTTGCTTAGAATCTTCAGACAACCTCCAATGAGGAGCTCCAATTTATCTAATACTTTGAGTCAATGAAATGAAATCCTAGAATACATAATTGCATGAAAACATTTTCAATTACTCTTGTTACTTATTTTTGATTTGTCTTTTGAGTATTATAGCAGGCAGCTCTGGATTTGTCTTGTCTCACTTTTAGCTGCATGACCTTGGGCTCATCAGTTCCCTCACATGAGGAAACATTAGGGATAAAAGGGGTATATAAGGGGTACATATGTCCCCATGGAGAAACAAAATGCACAGATGATAATTCTCATATTTCATGGGATATTTGTGTTAGGACAAAAATATGGAAAGCACTCGATATGGCTTCTGGCACATGGTAACTGCTCATCAAATGTCTGTGAGAATTATCATCTGTGCATTTTGCTTTTCCACGGGAACAGAGAAGTACATTGGGAAGAGCCTGGGATCTGGATTAAGCCAGTGCTGGGATCCAATCTTAAAAAAATTTTTTTTTAAAAAAAATAATGTGGAGTGTGTGTAAATCAGACAACACAGTGCAGGAGTCAGTTCTCTCTTCCACCATGTGGGTTATGGGGATGGAACTCGGGTGTTCAGGCTTTCTGGCAAGCACTTGTACCTACTGAATCATCTTGCTGGCCCTGGAGTCCAGTTCTAAGTCAGTCACTGACTGTGTGTGGCATCTTGAGGCTTTCAATTCACTTTCTGAGCCTCTACTCTAGCTCTAAATGAATGAATATACAGTAATAATATCCTCTTCACTGGGTTGTAAGCAAAGCACCTATTACATCTTTTTCCTACCAACTGACTTAGCAACAAGTTAACATTTATGATGTCCACTCCAAGGACAGTGCATGCATAAGATGTCACAGAAAGTTTCAAAAGAAAATAAGCACGTGTTCTTCACTAAGAGCAAGGAAAAACATGCAATAAAATCCAGCCAACCACGGACAATGACTTTCTGATGATATATGCAAATGAAAACGGCTCTCTCGTCTATGCCCATTTATATTTTCCCCAGTGGATGCCGAGAAATTTTCTGTGAGAATCCTTTTCCTGATATTTGTACAAGTCAGCAGATCTCCAAAGTCCAACTAAAATTCAGGATGGTTAAAGACCCTGGAAAAACTGCACCAGTCACAAGCTACTCAGCAACTAGGATAAAACAAACCTTTAACGAAGGGCAGGTACCTCAGACTCTCAGGAATAGGTAAAGAAAGAGGATAAAATATCGGTGAAGTCAAATTGTCTGCACTGGGACAGAAGCAGCTGCAAAAACCACTTCTTCCCAGCATCACCTTCTCTATCACACGGTGGTGGAGGATTTTCCTCAAATGCCCTTGCAGACCCTGGGCAGCAGGCAGAGGAGGAGCCTCAGTGGTCAGCTGGGAGAGCTCCAGTACTCACACAGTTAAACCTCTCCTAAGGAGACTGGAGAAGGGAGCAGGGAGGAGGGAACGGACTGGAAGGGGTCAGGGAGGAGGGAGGGGGAACAAGGAGAATCGAGGAGGGAGCCAGCAGGAGAGTATAAAGAAGAGGGAGCAGGGGAGAGGGAGAGGGAGGGAGGAGGAGGGAGGAGGAAGCAGGGAAGACGGAGCCCAGAAGCCGGAGCAGGGAGGGCCTTCCTCCCCGCAGCAGGGAGAGCCCCGCCCACTGGCTCCGAGCTAGCGCCCCGCCCCTCCGGCCTCCTCCCCACCCCCGCCCCTCCTTGGCCGTGGCCGCACCTGCGGCGCGCACACGCCCCCCGCGCGCTGGGCCTGGGAGCCGCCGCCGCCCTCCGCACGCGCCTGCCGCGGCTGATCCGCACAGCCCAGCTCTGCGCCGACCGCAGCCACCCAGTGGCCACAGTGCTTCTTCCAGCCGCGGGCCGCGGCCGTGGTCGCGTAGCCGCCGAGCCGACCGGGCGTGGAAGCTGAGCGAACCCCGATCGGGCGCGAGGGCGCGAGGGCCGCTGCTGCTGTGGCTCACCGCGCTCCGGCTCCCGGGAGGACGCGCTCGGTCGGCTCCTCGGGCTGCCGGTCAGTGCTCGGCGCCGTTCTCAGTGCTGTGCATCCTCCTCAGTGCTTGGCATCCTCGGTGCTCGGCAACCTCAGTGCTCAGCATCCTCAGAGCTCGGCATCCTCAGTGCTCCTCATCCTCAGTGCTCCGCACCCTCCTTCCGCTCATCAGCAGCACCCGGCTGGTCCCCACCCGCTCGCGCCCCACCCGCGGGAAGGAGGCCTCGGGAATGCAGGGGAGTGGCTCTGGGGGCGCGTCGCCGACCGGCCAGCCCCTCTGCCCAGACCCGGGCTGCTCCCCATTGTAAAAGCGGCGGCGGGCGGCGGGCGGCGGGGGCAAAGCGTGCAGTTGCCGGCGCTGGGCTCCGGGGACCTCTGCGTGCGGAAGCCCTGGCATCGTCCTAGGGTGGGGCGGGGAGGGCTCTGGGTTTGGGGGAGTGGACCGCGAGGAGGACCCGAGCAGGGAAAGGACTCTGTAGGGAACTCGGTGGGAGACTATGGGGAAGGACCAGGAGCTCCTGGAAGCTGCTCGCACTGGAAATGTGGTTCTGGTGGAGAAACTCCTGTCTGGCCGGAAAGGAGGGATCCTGGGCGGTGGATCCGGACCCCTGCCTCTGTCTAATCTTCTAAGGTAAGAACGGGCGCCAGCTCCGGGTGGCACATCTCTGTATGCGTTGTGATGGGTACGTCCTCCACCTCATGGTTATTGCACCTGGAGGCTGGCAGCGGATCATTCTTAAATTAGGTGGGAAAGCAGTGGAGAGGAGGTGGGAGCCTCCGGGTCAGACTGATGCTTTCAGTGCCTCCATCAATGCGTCAGTCAGCTACTTTTCTCGGAGCTGTCTGCAGAACTTGTACATGTACTAGTGTTACTTGAAGAAAATCGGCATTCCACGAGCTTTCTGTCAGTCACTGTTTTGGTAGATTTGCAGCTTTGAAGCCATCCTCCACCCCCACCTCCCCCAACTATTTTGTCTATTTCAATGAAATTGGAAGAAAAGCTGTTTCCAGCAAGCAGTGACCTCGCCGAAGCTACAACCCTGCTTGGATGTTGCGCCCTTGTCTTGCAGAAGGCATGGGCTGTGCGGGGGGTTATGGTGCCACAAAATGAAGAAAGTGAACCTTTGGAGATGTCAGGCAGGAGTGTGGAAAAGTTGGTGACAGGTTAGGCAGCTTCACCAGCACTTTGAGTTACCAGACTGAGCCGAGGGAAACTCAGGCTGCAGGGACCCAGGTTGGGCGTGGGATCTGTGCTTGGAATATAGAGGCCTTTTGATCAGAACGTGTTGCAGGTAAGATGGTATTGGCTAGAGATTCTAAGACGACATTTAAAAGCCATGGCGAGGTGTTTATTCAGCGGGCAACAGAGATAGGGTTGGTTTGCATATTTGAGAAACTATCAAAAGTTAGATTGGACAAATGACATGGCTTGGGAGGAAGGAAGCCCAAAGAGCATTTAGTAGATGAAATTGAAGGGAAGTGCTTTAGTTCTTGAGTCGTGGCTATTCAGTTTGTCGTGGATATTTATGGAGGTGCCCATCACCAGTCATTTTGTCACCTTAAAACATCTCAGGCAATTCAGCTATACTTGGGGGGAAAAAAGCTTCAGTGATTTCTTGTTTTGTTTAAAATTCCTTTGTATTACCCTTTTAAAAAATTAAAAGAAGAATAACATTTATTTGTGTGTGTGTGTGTGTGTGTGTGTGTGTGTGCGTGTGTGTGTACACAAGTGGAAGTCAGAGAATAACTTGTGGGAGTCATTTCTCTCCCTCCACCATGGAATGGAACTCCAGGGAATGGAACTCAGGTCCTCAGGCTTGGGGGCATGTGCCTTTAGCTGAAGAGAGACGTCTCACTGGCCCCTTGTGCTAATTTTGTTAAGTGTTTAAGACAAACTTTTGAGTGATGGTGTTGTGTTTTATACGTAGGTTCTCATAGGTTGTATTGTTCAGATAGTGCAGTTAATTACTGTGCTGGCTACAGGGAAAAGAAAACGTTATTATGGTCATTTCACAGTGAAATGGCCATAGGTGAAAATGGAGGGATTTAAAGATCCATGTGATAGGATATATACTGAGTGACAGTGACATTTGATTGGAATGATCATTCGTTTCAGAACAATGATTATTTATGGGACAGCTTTTTCAATAGATCTTAGAAAAGATGACTGTTGTATATACTCCCTTGTTAAATATTTTACCTTTTCAAGCACAAGTAGACAATATGAACATTTCAGACTATGGCTTTAACAATTACTCTTAGATAATTTATAGGAAAGCACTTTAGTTACATCTTTAAGTTACAGGTGAAATACATGTATTTGCTAAGGTATTATTGCTTTAGTTCTAAAAATGATTCCGGCTATATGCTAAAAGAAGTTCCTCAAAAATTAATTTCTTTGGCAAAACTCTTAAGGATTCTTTAGCAATGAGAGATAAAGTTAATTTCATTGAGTCAAGTTGAGACAAATGATATTTTAAAAAAAAACTATGACAGAACTCAAAGGCAAACATCTTTTAAACACTCCTCAGTTGTATTATTTTTGAAACAAAAATAGATGACAAATTTTAAGAATCAAATACCAAGTATTTAATGTTAGGAAACACTAAGTAAAGTATCAAAGTCATAACCTGCAGTTCATCTGGAATGAATTTTCTTTACTGCTGGTTTTGTCAGAGCTCAGCAGTTGTAGTTCGATAAGAACACACACAGACAACAAGTAAGACAGGTTTATGAGAGCAGTTTTGGACTAAACTGGAAAAATCACAAACAAAACAAGTACCTATCAAACTTGAATTTATCTGTCTCCCACTGAATAAACAACTGAAACGTGTCTTTTAAGAAAATGAATGGAAATTATATTTGGTAATCTTTTTGTATAAAATGAAATTTATAAGAAGTCACATTTTGAGTAGATATCACTTTATTTCACAAATGATTGCTATCAACAATTTATAGGACAATTGAAAGTATGTTTCTCCATCCAACATAATGACATTTTGAAATATTTGAATATTTTGAAGTGAATTGTGGAATTGGTTAGTCACCTCTTCCCACTTTATTCCTTGTATGGTGCAGTAATCAGGTCAGGCCCTGTGGTAAATGCTAGCATGTCTCATTTCATTTAGTGCTTGTCAACCTTAAGAGGTCAATCCTCATTTCACAGATGAAGGACTAAAGAGAGACAGGAAGGTTAATAACTGTCCAAGGTCGCTTAATTACTAATGCCAGGGATTTGAAATGCAGAGATTCAGATTTGCATTAATTACCACGTCTTCAGTCTTATTCATCAATCTATTTTAAATGTTCTCAAAAGTTTAAGGTATGTGGTCAATTTACAGTCTGAGCATTTTTTAATGCAAGTTATAGTTGCATTTTATTTTTATTTTAAAAAAAAATTTATTTATTATTTTTATTTTATGTGTATGCATGTATTGCCTGCATGTGCATCCGTGTCGTGCAGTTCCCTCGGAGGTCAGAAGAGGCTGTTGGATCCCCTGGGACTGGAGCTACGAACTGTTGTTAGCTGCCATGTGGGTGCTGGGATTCAAACCTGGCTCTTCTGCAAGAACAACCAGTGCTCTTAACTGCTGAGCCATCTCTCTAGCCCCTATAGTTGCATTTTAAAATCTTTAACTTTGTGCTAAGAAAAAAGTATGTCTTGTCTGCATGTTTGAGACTTAATTAGATATGAACTGCAGAAGATGCCTTTGATCACTTGTGATCTAAATGAACAATGGTCAGATCGTGAGGAATTAGGTATGCTGGAATTTTTAGTAGAAGTAAGAATACCCTCAACTATAAAAAGCCTTACTGTCCTTTTCAATAGGGTATTAATAACTGTCCTTTCAATAGGGTATTATTATTATTAATAATAATGATAACAGTATTACCTAGGGTTGTATAGATTAAATGAGGTTGAAAATAATAAATAGCATTGAGCACAGAGGTGTTCATCATTAGTGTTATAATTTCTCATGTAGATCTAAAGCATGGGAGACTGTCATTCTCTTTCTTAAGAATGTAGTTACCAAATATTTGCTTTATATTAGACTGGGAGTATGTTGCTTTAGTAAGTTTTCCATTAGATTCAGAATCATCAAATAGAAAGCAGCCTTTAATCAAACTTCTTACCTGATGTAGGAATTTCCTCCGCAAAAATCCCTTCCCATTTAGTTATTTTGAGCCCTATGAACTTTTCTAGTAACTAGATCCATTCTTTTTTATTGTTTATTTTTTGAGACAGGGTCTTGCTCTATACCTCAGGCTGGCCTTGAACTCAGTATCCTCCTGCCTCAGCCTCTTGAGTGCTTAGATTACAGGCATGTTCCACTGCACCTGACATCTGTTCTATTCTGTTTTTGATGGATATAATCATTAGAAAATTTTCTTATTGAGCTGAAACCCATTTTTCTGTATCTTCCAGAAGCTGGTACTAGATTGACTTCATGAGTCAATACAAACGTTGTTTAATTCACCTGTCAAGACAGTTCTTCAAGTACATGTAGTTAACTATATTGCTTTCTGGTAAATCTGTTCTTTTTCATGGAAGATCTATTGTTATCTTTATTATAATGGTAAAATTTAGGTGTTAAAACTCAAATTTTCCTATTTTCCCCTCTCTCCTTTTCTCCTTTTCATACCCTTAAATTCCACAAGGACCCTCCCAAAATATGACAAGAAAGTAACAAGAAATGAACAATATACTTCGGGTGTCATTCAGAGTGAAACAGAGTGAGGATTGACATTCTGACGAATATAAAAGCAAGTGAATACCAAATAGCATTTATAGCATGATTCTACTTTTATAAGAAAAATAACTGTGACCATTTATAACATACATTAAGAAGTCTAAAATGATGGAACACAAAATGGAGTTAATCATGTTTGAGTGATGTGATTGTGGGTAATTTTTATTTTTTTTAATCTGTGTTTTCAGTGTTCTATAATGAGCATGTCTTATGTAATGAAAATATGTGGCATCCATTAAAGCATGATATAATGAAATTATTTCCACTGTATTATTGATCTAAGCCCTTGCCATAGGTCAAGATTTTCTGAGCCATGAAATTGGTGTTGGCTTACATTGTCAATTAAAGTCAATTAAAATTTCCAGCTGTTTTTTCTTTCAATGACCTGTGAAGCCATGATTCCCACATCTGGTACTTGTGAAAGTGTTGGTTGAATTTCAGTGATTCCTGTTACATTTTATCCTGTTTACCCTGCATTTGTAATCTGTGTATGTCTTTTCAACTCCTGAGTCTGTTTTCCAGAATTTTAATTTCTCGCTCTACATCATCTGAGGATTTAATAAGCATGCTTTGTAACTGGAGTCCAATACACCATAAGATAGCCCCAAATAACCTCTCTTTAGCCTATACATTTTTAAGATGACAGTCTTTATGCTTGATATTTCTCCTTGCATTGGAACCACTTAATAAACTTTTAAGTCAGCTGATTATCTCCTTTATGCCAGTGAGGATATTGTGAGGTGTGAGGATCTTTCTTAAATTCATGCTATATTCTGCTTATGACTTTACTTTGCTCTGTCAAGGAATCTGTTCATTTGTGTGGCTATCAATTCCACCAAAATCAGCCCACTTAATTGTAACTTGTTTCTGTTAGTGAGTC